AAAAAAAAAAAAAAAAAAGCATGTATATGTTAATGCATTCAAGTCTTCTGCCAGGGCAGGCAGGCATTTACTATAACACTCTTTCACAGAGCACAGAGGCTCAGCTATATGTGTGTGTGTGTGTGTGTGTGTTATTCATACTTACCTAAGCAATGTGTAACAGCTATCATTTATTTTGTCTTAAAAATCATTAAGTTATGCTAAAATATCATTTAATCATGGAAGCTAGAATGTATATACCTAACAAAGTGAACCCTGAGAACTTTAATCAATCCATTAAATATCTTATTACCTGTAATTTTATATCCATAAGCAGCTAGCTGTCCAGCCATATATTCTCCATCTGAATTATTATGAGAACAACCCCATGTTCGTATCCAAATTTTCTGTATGCCTGGAATAGTGCTGTTAAACAATCATTTAAAAAAAAAAAAAAAGTAAGTTTCATTAAGTTACTTTAAAAATAAAAACCACTAGATGATTTTAAGGCACATTAAGCAAAAAAACAAAACCAATGCAATCCATTCACAAACTATTCAATACATGCACCAACTTAATCTATAATCTATTATCAGATTAAAAGTCTAAACTCAAGAAAAATAATCACAGAATTCTAAGTCATACCTAATTCTACTGTGCTTCACTTTTTTGCTCTTTGTAGATTCTCCATTTTTTACAGAATGAATGTTTGTGGCAATTGCATCAATCAAGTCTATCAGCACTGTTTTTCCAACAGCACATGCTCACTTCATTCCTGTCATGTTCTGGTAATTCTCACAATATTTCAATTTTTTTCATAATGATATTACACACTTACTAGAACTATAGTATAGTGTAAACACACTTTTATATGTACTGGAAAACAAAAATTTTTGTATGACTTGCTTTATTGTGATATTTGCTTTATTTTGGTAGTCTGAACTCAACTTGTACTATATCCAAAGTACACCTGCAGTTGACACTCCCTACATTTAAAAAAAAGAACTCCTTCTCTGAATCAATTTTTAAATTCATTACTAGAGAGAGTTCTACCACCAATTTCAACTCCTAGAAAGATACATAGAATACCAATAGAAGAGAAAATTGTTCTAGCCGAAATAACACATAAAGAAAAATTTAAGTTCATCTCTTCAAAAACAGACTCTTACATACCAGTGGCAGTCTTTGCCTACTTTATGACTCACAGACATAAATAACTGAATCAAAATGACAATCACCCTAAGGCTTCACATTATTAAAAAGTACTCCATACAGAAAAATTGGTTTTTACAAACATAACACTTTTAAACGGGGGGGGGGGGGACTTTCAACTTGGACTGCCCCAATAATTTAGTAAACAGAAATTACCTGAAGGGCATGTCAGGACAAATTTGATAAATTTCCTTTGTTAAAATATAAGCAAATTTGAAATTCATAGATTTTGAAAACCTGCTGTTCCAAACAAAATAATCAAGTGTGTTAAAACTTTTAACAATATACTAGACAAATAAATACAGGCTCTTAAAACTAAGCAACTGCATACCACTTTCTGGATAGGTCATATTAGAATTTTACTAAATTGCTGACATAGTGTGTCAGTATAAACAGGGCAATAATTTAGTTGTACCACATGCTTTGTCTATGGTATCTGATCCATAAGTATCTGTCAATTAAATGTCTATAAAACCACTGCCACATAAGAATCACAAATTCCACTAAAAATTGTTAACTTAGAAGTAACATAGAATTACACAACTACAATAACATCAAAAGGATCATGGGGTCTTTCTTTGTAATAAATACTACCCCTAGCCTCTGCCTTTAAGAAACGCTTAATCTACTTTTTTTTCTTTTTAGCCAATTACCTTGCCAATAAAGAAACAAATCTACATATTTCCTATCAAAAGTTCAAAGATTTGAAAAGGAGACATTATATATATTACACAGACCAGTAGTGCCAGCTTCTCCTCTGGAATGAAATTGAACATAATTTCAATGAAAAAAGCTTACCTATCACTTGGTAGATTGATATCCTCTTGCAAATACTTCTGAGTATTTCGCTTTCGCACCTTTGGAACAACATGCTTTCTAGCAAAATGCCTGTCTTGTGGCTTTGAATCTTCCTCTGTCACAATATCTTCTATGTCATCCAACAGTGTATCACAGGATGCAGAAGGCATCTTCTCTATCATATAAAAGAGTTACAAAAAATACAAGCATGAGTTCTTCAGAAAATATGCTTAACATAGCATCACCCATGAAATAGGTATATTTCTCATGGAGGGCAGAAAGAAGCGGCACATTTTTCAAGTGCTTAACTAAAAACTATCAACCCAAAATCTTATATCCAGAGAAAATTTCCTTTGGGACTAAAGGAAAAATAAATACAATCCCAAATGAAGAAAGCTAAAAATTTTTTTGCCAGGAAATGTACCCTAAAACAATAGTTAGAGAAAGTTCTCCAAACAGAAACAATAAAACAAGGAATTTGGAACATCAGGAAGAATGAAAGAACATGGTAAGGTAAATGTAAGTTAAATAGGCTATCCTTCTCGAGTTTAGTCCTAAATATGTTTCATGGTTAAAGCAAAAATTGTAACACTGCCTGATGTTCTAATGTGTTGTTGTTGTTGTTGTTGTTGTTGTTAGGTGCCATCCAGTCATTTCCAACTCATAGCAACCCTATGCACAGCAGAACAAAACACAGCCCAGTCCTGAGCCAGCTCCATGATTGTTACACTTGAGGCCATCGCCACTGCCACCATGTCAATCCACCTCGTTGAGGGCCTTCTCATCTTTTGTCGACCTTTCACCTTACCAAGCATGACATCCTTCTCCAGGGAATGGTCCCTTTTGACAACATGACCAAAGTATGTGAGACAAAGTCTCGCCATTCTCGCCTCCAAAAAGCATTGTGGCTGCACCTCTCCAGGACAGACCTGTTAGTTCTTTTAGCAGTCCACGGTACTTTCAGCATTCTCCACCAACACCACAGCTCAGAAGCATCAACTCTTCTTTGGTCCTCCTTATTCATTGTCCAGCTCTCATATGCATATGAGGTGACTAGAAAATACCATGGCTTGTGTCAGGTGCACTTCAGTCCTCAAGGAGACATCTTTGCTCTTCAGCCCTTGAAAGAGGTCCTTTGCAGCCAATTTGCCCAGTGCTATACGTCGTCTGATGTCCTGACTGCTGCTTCTATTGGCCATCAATTGTAGAACCAAGCAATGTGATGTCTTTGACAATTCCAATCTTTTCTCCATTTATGCTGCTTCTAGGTCCAGTTGTGAGGATTTTTGTTTCCTTTATATTGAGATATAATCCATACTGCAGACTGTATTCTTCAATCTTCATCAGTAAGTACTTCAAGTCATCCTCACTTTCAGCAAGCAAAGCTGTGTCGTCAGTGTATTGCAGGTTGTTAATGATTCCTCCTCCAATCCTGATGCCACGTTCCTCTTCATATAATGTGCCTTCTCAGATTATATGCTCAGCATACAGACTGAATAAGTATGGTGAAAGGATACAACACTGATGCACTCACTTCTTGATTTTAAACCATGCAGTGTTCCCTTTTTCTGTTTGAACAACAGCCTCCTGGTCTATGTACAGGTTCCTCATGAGTACAATTAAGTGTTCTGAAATTCCAATTCTTCTCAATGTTATCCACAATTTGTTACGATCCACACAATCAAATGCTTTTTCATAGTCAATAAAACGCAAGTAAACATCTTTCTGGTATTCCTCAATTTGAGCCAAGATCCATCTGACATCAGCAATGACATCCCTCGTTCCACGTCCTCTTCTAAATCCAGCCTGCACCTCTGGAACTTCTCTGTCAATACACTGCTGCAACCGTTTTTGAATTATCTTCAATAAGATTTTACCTGCATGCAATATTAATGATATTGTTTGATAATTTCCACATTCTGTGGGATCACCTTTCTTTGGAATGGGTACAAATATGGATCTCTTCCAGTCAGTTGGCCAGGTAGCTGTCTTCCAAATCTCTTGAAATAACTGATTGAGGGCCTCCAGTGGAGCAAGTGTATGTTGAAACATCTCAATGGGAATTCCATCAATTCCTGGAGCCTCATTCCTCGCCAATTCCCTCAGCGCAGCTTCAACCTCTTCCCTCTATACCATTGGTTCTTGAACATATGCCACCTTCTGAGATGGATAAAGATCTACCAGTTCTTTTTTGGTACAGTGACTCTGTGTATTCCTTCCATCTTCTTCTGATGCGTCCTGAATGATTCAATATTTTCCCCATAGAATCTTTCAATATTGTAACTTGGAGCTCAAATTTTGTCCTCAATTCTTTCAGCTTGAGAAATGCCCAGTATGTTCTTCCCTTTTGGTTTTCTAACTCCAGTTCTTTGCACATTTCATTATAGTAATTGGCTTTGTCTGCTCAAGCTGCTCTTTTATCTTGTCATTTCTTCCATTTGCTTTAGCTACTCTTTGTTCAAGGGCAAGTTTCAGAGTCTCTTCTGACATCTATTTTGGTCTTTTCTTTCTTTCTTGTATTTTTAATGACCTCTTGCTTTCTTCATGGATGAT